CTCACATGGTAGAAGGACTAGGGAACTCTGTGGGTCCTCCTTAATGAAGACACGAATCTCCATCCTGAGGGTCCAGCCTCATGACCTAGTCACCTCCTATTAGGAGTATCCTCCTCCTAGTACCATTACCTTGGGGATTAGGATTTCAACATGTGAATTTGGGGTGGGGGGTGCAAACATTCAGACCATAGCGAGTCTCTTCCTGGTAAGTTGTAGGGAGCCAGAGAGGAGCTAAGATGGGGGTAATTTGGATCATTAGGAAACCTTCACAGTATTGTTCAATCAGAACACTTTAGTGGATTTTACTTTTGGTCCCCTAGCATCAGAATACTCTTTGGGCAGAATCCTAAAATAGATAGGAGGCAGGGTCACACATCCCACTGTAGAAACTAAAGAGGGCAGATAATCTTTTTCCCTGACAGCTGGGGCATCTGCAAATGTTCCTGCCAGGGGCTTTGAACCTTGAAGGAGCGACACAAAAATGGAGGCTCCTGAGAGATCACTTGCAGCAATGGCAGGGTGCAGTCCACAGTTTAGAGGTGACTTCTGTGGTTTGGGGGGTTCCTCTTCAGACTATACTGGAACACTGCCCAGTTTCCCCTCTCTCCTGCTCTTTTCCTGGACCTTATTCTTACGTTCTGTGATAGCCTTATATGAAATTGCTTTCTGCTTGCATTGGTTGGGGAAAATTTGTAGTCTGCAACCAAGAATTCCAGCTAGCACGAACATCCCCCAAATCTGCTATACTTATATTTCCATTAAAACTTTATCTTATTGGAAAAATTATCAACTGAAAGACTTAGAAAATACAAACAAAAAACACTGTAACCCCATCACCACAGAGCAACTTTGTAAAAAAAATTTTGAAACATTTTCTGGTGCAGGGGCGCCTGGGTGGCTCAGTTGGTTAAGCGTCTGCCTTCCACTCAGGTCATGATCCCTGATCGAGTCCCACTTCGGGCTCCCTGCTCATCGGGGAGCCTGCTTCTCCCTCTGCCTGCCGCTCCCCCTACTTGTGCGCTCTCTCTCTGACAAATAAATAAATAAATAAATTTTTTTTAAAAGAAACATTTTCTGGTGCATAGTCTCTCCAACTTTTTCCTGGGCATATGAATATACTGTTTCTTTAGCTATTATAAAAAGTGCTACCACATTGCGATCAACATGCTTGTTATTTGCCTGCTATTCGGCCTTATCTGTAGCATTGCTTCTCAGTATGAACATAAACACAGACATGATGAGTTGGTCCAGCCTAGGGAAAAATATTTGTCACACTTACTCGTTTCCTTTGAGTAAATATATGTAGAAGTGAAGGCATATAAAATGATTTCAGGTACATCCTTGGGACAGAACTAATCCAGCAGAGGGAAGCCAGTGTTCCTCTCCTGGTAAAAGTCTTCAGACACCTAACATGGCCCGCTTTGTTTGGTCATGTGCAAACGAAGGCATCATTTTTATATTCAAGCTAGGATTCAAGATTTACAGAGAAAATTTAGGATATAGGTTTACTCTCCCGAGGACCACTATTTCAACTAGAAATTCACTTAAAAACTACTAATTTCTCAGAATGCATGAAATAGATCTCTAATTCAAGAAGAGTTGTAGGATTTATATTTTAAAATCATTACTTACATGTACAAATCATAACTGCTGCCACAAAGTAAATAATGAGAGGGCAGTTTTGCTATGTATGCGTAAAATTAGAAATACTACTTGCAAATAGTAAATATATGAAAAGTTCTTAGAAAGTCTGTTCTCTACCTCTTATATCTTAATAGACTTTAGTACCTTTTTTTCAGAGGCAAACGTCAACAGCAGGTAGATTTAAAAAAGGAGTAGGTTCTAAATTAATTGCATTTCAGTATTTTCAACCTAGCTTGCCTTTAGCCACAGTCTTGTTCTAATGGCTCCTCATTCCAGTATTTGCCTTGAAGGCATCTGTTTTCTTCTAGCTCTGGTTTTCTTCTTGGTGAACGGTAATCAAACTATCTCTTATTGCTACCCCCGAATTAGCTTTAATATATTTAAGAATTGGACTCAAAAAATCTCCAGAGATTTTCAAACTAGTGTGCAGGTGATAGTTGTTGTTTTTTCCCTTTTCAAAATAAACCATCTTTAAGGTGGTTTTAAGATTTTTACTATTTTAAAAATCACATAAAATGACTGCTTTCATGTAACAGTGCTTTTTCCCCATGTGCAACCCATTGAAAAGGTAACTTCAATAATTAAAAAAATAAAACCACTCAATGCTTTATTAAGCAAATGAATTAATAGTTAACTTTTTAGATCCTGGACCTCAACATTCCTTTGCTATTCAAATCAAAATGCAGTAGTCTTCACATTTGTTACCATGGATTTCAAAAGAATAATCTACATTTCTAAAGCTATTTATATAGAAAGACAAAAGAGAACATAATTAAGCTGGAGTCTTTCCACAGCATTGTCTTTTGGGGTCCAGGCAGCAGAAGCATGATGTAGGTGAAAAAGTACTATGGCCAGGTTCCAATGTATGTGATTCAAGCTGAAGAACAAAAACTTGAACTGTGAATACATTAGCTCAGCTCAAAAAGTGAATGCTAACCAGAGGGTCTCCATCTTTGTGGAGACCAAACAAGGGCAAAGAGCTTAAATGGTAGCAGCATCACTGCGGGTTATTTATAAAACAGTACTTTGCAACACATACCAAGAAGCTAAGACACCCATTGCTCATACCTCTTAGAGAACAAAAGAGGATGCTCATTTGTCTGGAATGGTTTTTGAAGGAAAATATTCTGGAAGGCAGGAAGAGAACTTTCCTTACTTGAAGGCCATCTTTCTCCCGATGGGCTCAAGCCTGTGAATTGTATCTCATTTATTCTTCTCAGTGTGAATCCAGTCCAGCTCTAGAAGTTACAGACTGCAAATACTTTTATAACCTAACTCCCATTATCAAATGGGCTTCTTTTCTTACTCTATCTTCTGATACTCAGAACCATTCAGAGCATTTATTTACTACTATAATATGCAATGAAATGGAATTTAAGAAACAACTCTGCAAAATAAGGAATATAAGAGCAATTTGGTCTTTTTTTTTTTAAACGTTTGGTCCAGTAGCATGGGGCAAAGCTTTAGCTGAGTTAAATTCCCACTTCCTTTTGATAAGAAAAAGTCAAAATAAATGAACATTTCTTAGAAATAAACTACAAACAAATCTATTTGTAAAAGTAAGAGGAAATCTGTTCTTTTAAAGCATTTTGGAAAGATGGAAAGTTAAGTATTCAATTGGTTATATATACTTTTTGGATATTTCAACTTCTGTAAGATTGGAATCTAGTGAAGCCTTCTTTCAATTTTCTAACACCATATACAAAATGTTATCAAAATGTATAAAAGATGCTTCTAAAAACAACTGTTAAGTTTACTGTTTTTGACTTAGTGATCAAGCCATAATTTTTTCAATTCCAACTTTAATTTGTTCCTGTACACTCTCTTTAACGGGGCTTTGGGCTTTCAAGTCATCCTCTTCAATCTTTGTATGATAAGGTGAGCTACTTGCTTCTGTTTAGCAGAGCTGGATCAGGAACATCTCTGCATTTGATTGGCTGGCTTTTAAAGGATTACTCCTCTGGAAAGCCACTGTTCGGTATCACATTGCTAGCAGTGTGGACTTAATTGTGGTTAAAAATTCAAATTGAAGAGGAGTATTTACCATCAAAGAGAATGTAAACTTCAGTATTCCGTTGTTACATAGCTTCTATACATCATATTGACCTAATGTGTGTGTGATGAAGAGCTCTGTTTCAAAACAACCTTAAATGCTATATCCAGAAATAACAACTGACTCCGGCAAAGAGAGGTAATTTGGGATCCCTGTATGTTCTTTAACAAAGCCAATACAATTTAAAAATAAATGAATTCCAACTACACAAATTGAGTTCAGAAAGATGAACAAAACTGAGGAAGACAAATGTCAGCTAAGTCAACAAGCCAAATACATTATAGTATTTATACCCAGATGAAATAAAACAATGACTTTCCATTTTTATTTTGCCTTTCCCAGTTACTCAGAGTAAACATGATCACTTTTCAAATTCCACTGATCGTTTTATCTGAAAGAAAAATTTACTGAGTAAAATGCTTAGCTGTAGGATTTTATATTTACAATCCATCAGGCTACAATAAAGTTACTAGTTTCTTCCCCAGTGTGAGCATTCTGTATGTGCGTTTTATTTACATTCTGTCACTTTCTATTTCCTCCTAAACTTTATATGCTCAAGAAAGAAACTGTATTGTTATGTAACAATACTTCTAATTTGCAACACACATACTGGTTTCTCTCTCCCTTGAACCCATGTGCCTGAAAAATAAACACAATGTATCCCCCCAAAACACCACCTTGGAGTGTGTAAGGACGAGTATAGACCTGTAGAAGTATAAGCACTGAAAACAGTTGTGTGGAAGGGTAAAGATGTATCTGTCCTTGTTGACAACAATCCCCACGATTTATTAGCCACAGGCACCCAACTTAGTAAATGACAAGGTCCAAGGCCTGGCCATAAGAAGTGGGTAACCCAGTGGAAGTGAAGGCTTTTAGGTCTTACAACTAATGTGATTCAAAAAAAGAAGAAAAAAACACCAAAGCAAGCAAACCGTAAAACCTGGAGAAAGTCCTCCAAATAGAGCCTCTTTGGCAACTCAAATTGAACCAAATGATTCAGGTGGGCGATTAGAATAAACTGTGCGCCGTTTTCTTTCACTAGGTCTACAAAGCCCACAAATTATGTTTGGTCCAGAACACCAGGAGTTATTAGCACCTTCCTTTTTCACTTTTTAATATTCAATATATTCAGCAACAATCCTTAATCCATGGTCTTCATTCATTTATTGACTGAACAAGATCCTGGGTGCCTCCTGGTGATCGCTCCTTCCTGGCTGACCTTATATGACAGCAAACTGAAATGCCCCTCCGTGGAGAGGGTCAAGACCGCGAGGAAAGTCATCCAAAGGTGGACGCATCTTGCTTTCATTTACTTGTTTATTAGAGGGGCGGCGATGGCCGCGGCTGGACGAGGACGAGGCGAAGGGGCGCGCGGGCCGTGAGCCGCAGCCCCGGGGTGGGTACCCGCGGAGGAAGAGGAAGGCAGCAGCCACGCTCTACCAGCTCGGCCCGCCGGACCCAGAAAGTGACCAGCCCCTCCCCCCACTGCACCCTTGACCCCTCCCCCTCTTTCCAGGCCTTTCATCCGCCCGCTCGCCCGCCGGGCAGCCCCGGGGCCCCCAGATCTCGCGCCGCCCGCCTCTTTAGCCAACCCGGTCCAGCGACGCGGACAGGCCCAGGACGGCCCTGCGAAGCCCTCGGCCGGGCGAGGACCCCGACCCCGACCCCTCCGGCCGCGCCCCTCCCCCTCGAGTAACGCACCTGCGGCCCCGCCCCCGGCCAAACGCTGAGGCGGCGGCAGGCTGGCGAGGCCGAGCGGCTCGGCCCTCCAGGCGCAGTCACCTTCCCTTCCCCCGCCATTCTGCCCACCCCCCTAGCTCAGCCACCAAGCAGCCGCCGCGATCTTCAGCCGCCCCGAAATCTAAAGGGGTCCGTCTCGGGCACCACAACCAAATGGCTGAGCCTCCCTGGCCGGCTGCGCAGCCCGCCCATTGGTCCCTTCCCCCCCCGCCGCCGCCACCATTGGCTGTTGCCCGGACACCCTCGGCAGCGATTGGCTCCAGCTGTTGCCGCTCATCCGCCGAACCGCAGGTCCCGCCTCCACCGTGATCAGGTTAGTGTGCGCCGCGGGTGCTGGGGGCTCGAGAACCGAGCGGAGCTGGTTGAGCCTTCAAAGTCCTAAAACGCGCGGCCGTGGGTTCGGGGTTTATTGATTGAATTCCGCCGGCGCGGGAGCCTCTGCAGAGAGAGAGCGCGAGAGATGGACATGGACAAACGGATTCATTTAGAGCTGCGGAACAGGACGCCCTCTGATGTGAGCATTTGCCAAAAATATCTCTGTCGGTCCATTCTCCTACTTTGTGTGTGTGTGTGCGTTGGGGGGAGGCACTTTTTTTTGAGGGGGGGCGCCCGGGAGGTGTGGGTTTGGGGGTCGGACTGCAAATGAATTGCAAGGTTGGGGGGTTGCAATGCCATCCGAGCATGTTCCGGCTGCCGCCGCCGCTGCCCTTGGTGTGTGACTACCTGTGCGTGTGCTCCCGCGTGTGCGAGTGTGGGTGCGAGAGTGTGCGTGCGAGTGTGCACCCACCGGGGGCCAGCGGGCGCACGCGTTTGGGTCGGAGAGAATGAGGCAAAATAACCCTCTGAGCTCGCTGCTCCCTTGACTCCGTCTGGGGGGAAGATTAACGAGGGAGGAGGAGGAGGGGGGCTGCCTCCTGGATTTAACAACAAAAAAAGGGGGGTTTTATATTTTATAAATGAATCCCCCCTTCCGCCCCCCTCCCGCGCCTTCCCCCTCCCTTTCTCTCTCTCTCTCTCTCTCTCGCTCGCACACACACAATAAGTTTTGGGCTTCGCGAGTCCGGTTTAGTTTCTGATAAATGTGGGCCGAGGCCCCCGGGGAGAGCGCGTGGGGAGGGGGCTGCAGTGGAGTTGGGAATGGCTCGAGTTTAAAGTGCGTCTTCATTTCTTTGCAGTGATGAGGCGAGAGACGGGGGAGCCATATTTGTAACTTTGTAGTGTTCGTGAACGCGCCCTTTCTCTCCCTCCCTCCCTTTCTCTGACTCCCTTCCTCTCCTCCTCTTTCTCCCTCACTCTTTCCACCCCACCTTCGGGCCAGATGCTGATGTTTCTTCCTTTCCTTCCGAAGGGAGGATAAATTGGAAGGGGGGAGGGATTTTCGAACGTGCAAAGGCACAGATAATCCCCGCGCCTCCCCACCTCGAGCGATCGCTATTGCAAGTTACCCGAAGGCTACGTCCCGGTCCCCCCTCGCCCCTGCTCCTTCCGGCCTCGCTAAGATGCCAGCCTTTGAGCCCTCGCGCCCCCCGGCCAGTCTTTCTCCGGGGTGGGCTCCTCGGCAGCCATTCGGCGCCTGGTTAATACACGGGCACGGGAAACTTTGTCAGGACGGAGCTGCCCAGACCTGGTGCCCGTGGTGGGTATTGGCTGGGTCCAGATTTATGCGGGCATAGGAAACACGCAGCTCCGGGATGGGAGTTTGCCTTCTGGTCGCCGTTATTGATTGGGCAGCGGCGGGAGTACGGCCGGAGGAAACTTGCACGGATGGGAACCGGGAGGCTCGGGCGAAAGCCCACCCCCAAGGAGGGGGACGGTGAGGGTGGGTTACTCGAACGCTCGTTTGTATTTCTGTCTCCCTCTCGCTTTCAAACAGTGTTTTATGTGAGTTGGCGGCTCAGCGGAGGAGACCCCGGCCCTGGGGCGGAGACCCTGGCCGGCTCCTCTCCCGACCCCTCCGGAGACCAGGGCGGCGCGGGCGGGAGGACCCTTCCTCCAGCCTCGGTGGCCACGGTTCCACAGAGTTGGGAGTTCGGGGAGCACTGTGCGCTGACCTGTCGCCCCTCCAGCCCGTTAAAACCCGAATCCCTGGCGGAGGCAGGCCTTGCTTCCTCTTTTTCTCTAGTTCCTCCCCCAAACCTGAGTGAGACTTTTGAAAACAAGATCCTTTTTGTGCCCCCCCATCATAACGCAGCTGTGGACTGTAGACGTGCAGTGCCTTATGGCGCGCAGGGCGGGGAGGGGGTGGCGGAGGGAGGGGAGGGGGTGCCCGCCGAGAAGGCAGGAGTTTCCGCGAACAATCTGCCGGCGGTTTGTCTTTCTCTGGCCGGTTTCATCCCGGCTTAGACCCCGAGCCGGAGGATTTGGGGGCTGGGTGTGGTGATGGGGGAGGGGGCCGGAGCCGCGGTCTTCCCGCGTACTTTCCGGAAGCCCCCCGTGCGGAGGGGGAAGGGCGCACTGTAGGGGGCCGGGGTCGTGGCGGGTGGGTGTGGAGGCGCGGTTCGCCCGGCCAACCCCAGCCACACGGCTGGCCAACTGGGAGCGAGATCGAAAGCGGGTCGAACCGGCTCTTTAAACTTCCCCGAGTATGTGCTGGGGGAGGGGAGCGCGCCGCGCCGAACTGGGAGCGATTTCTCACGCTTCGCCCCCTCGCCTCCGAGTCTCCCAGCCCACTCGCCTGCCCCCTGCTTCGAGGCGGGGTGGGGCGCGGGAGGGGATGGAGGGGGCACTTTCGGCACATTTGGGGAGGAGGGAGAGAGAGAAAGCTAGCTAATGAGGGACAAAAGGGGTGGGGGAGGAGGAACTATTTTTTTTAACCGTTCTTAAGACAAATAGCTCTCGGCGAGCGCCCCCTGCGCCCCTCCCCGCCGCGCTCCCCCCGGGGCCCCCTCACACCCACCTTCGGAGCCTCTCCCAACTCGGATCCGGGGGCTGGTGGCCACGCCGCGACGCCGAAATAGGACGAGCAGCCATGTTTCCCGGGTCTCGCGCGGCCCGCCCCGCCCCTCCCCCATGGCGCGGCCGGCGCCGAGCGCGGGGCTGCGAGTGCGGGCGCCGGGCTCCATGCGGCGCGGGGCGCGGGCCGGCGGGCGGGCGGGCGGGCGGGCTGGCGCCGGGGCGGCCGGGCCTCGTGCGCGCGGGCCGGGCGCGGGCGCGCCGGGCCGGCCCTTGGCGGGCCTCCTGGCTTCCCAGCTGCTTCGGAGCTCGAGGTGTTTTGTTATTATTATTTTCGTGAAGGCCAGGCCCCGGAGGCCGAGCCCGAAGGGCGCCGAGGCGTTATTGGGGGGCAGGGGCGGCCGCCGGGGCCCTGCTCGCCTGTGGCACGACTGCCGGGCGCCGGGCTGCCATTTTGTCACCGTGGCTGTTGTCGCTGGGGGGGGGGTGTGCAGAGTCTTGCGCCATCGCCCCGACGGCCCCGGACGTGGAGGCAGCAGGGGAAGCCGGCTCCGGGGACCCCGGCTTGTGCTCTGGGCCCCGAGGGGGGCTTCCCTCCCCGCGACAACGGCCTGAGGCTCTGCTGGAGCGTCGCGGCGGCGGTCGCCCTGGGAGGGCGGCGATCCTCCCAGCAAGTGCTCCCCCCACCCCCCATCGCGCTCCCTATCTCCCCCGCCCCTCTTCTCGCCAGTGTTTCGCCCTTCCTCCCGCTGGCGTTTTAGACGTAGTGAAATGTGGCCCTGAAGACGTGCTGGTCGCCCCGGAGTTTGCTCTTTCGGAGGAACTGATAGGAGGGTTGGGGGAAGAATTAAACATGAGGTTTCTTCTTCGGGCGGGGGGCGCGCGCGCGACTCTAGCGGCCCTGACTGGAGCCAAGGACGGCAGCCGCTTACCCGGGAGGGACGAGTTGTCGATGTGTTGGGGAAACGCCCTCCGGGGCTGGGCTCTCCGGGAAGGTAGGTCGCGCTCCGGCTTTCAGGTGGGTGTTGCAGCGCCCTGCAGTCTGCTAGGGGGGCCCCCTCCCCCCGTCTTCCTCTGCCCCTCCCCCTTGTATTTTTTGCCTTGGGGAAGGCAGTTTACGGTAGTAAACGTCACCCTAAACCGAAAAGAGAAGGGAATAAGGCTTGCTTTTTAAAAAAGTAAGTGATGTCTTTCGGCCGACCGCCTTTCTGCGTCACGTCCCTGGCTTCTCTCCGGGACTTTTTAAAAGCCGATGTCAGTGCTGGTTAAGCACCTCACTGGTTAAAGTCTGGTGTCTGCGTGAGACTAGCTTTGATGGCAGTGCCCGGCAGAGGCTGCCCAGGAAGCCAGGTTTTAACTTTGACCTTTGGAATACGTCGCATGATGTTTTCCAGGCTGACTTACTGCCTAATTGGGTTCATGGAGCCTGATATTAACTCCAGTGTATGCAAGCCAACCAAGGATCCCCAGGCAGAAAACTGAGCTCCAGCTCGGTTTGGTCATGGTCGGTTATGTTTTGTTAATGGATCTGCCGCGGCTGCTGCTGTTAGTTTCGAGTCTGGGGGCTCCATCGTGAAGCTGAGTTTTGGCGCCCCCACGGACCTGAGTTTGAATTCTGACTGCTACAAGGAGGTAGGATAAGTTAACCTCCTCTTTGAACTTTAGTTTCCTCACCTGTAAAAGGGGGGTGGTGATCTGGTTTGATGAGTAAGTGACAAAAGTGGCTCGATCTGGATCTGGCCCTCAGGTGCTCAGTGTGTGGTAGTGTTATTGGAGCGAGAACTGCCGTACCATGAGGCACAACTTTGAGCTTCTCTCTGGTTCTGGACGACAACAACAACAATAATAGTGAATGCTCACACAGCCCCACCCTGTGCCTGGCACAGTTCTAAGTGGATTAGACAGATGAATTAAACTAGTCCCCACAGCAGCACTGTGAGGTAGGTACTATTGTTATTCTCGCATTACACACAGGGAAATTGAGGCAGAGAGAACTTACCACAGTCAGTCTGCATACTCCGCTTCTTAGTCTCTGTTCCCTCCCCTGAAGCACCCTTTTTTGTCAGACACCGAGGCGGAGAGCTTTTTCTTCTCTGGCTTTAAAACAGTGCCACCTTATGAGGGATTGAGTTTCCTGTCACTGAAGGTACCGACGTGAACCCGGGATGGCCTCCCGGTTGGAGATGCTGAGGTGGATGGTCAGGACCAGGGGCTCCGATACAGGGGAAACTGTACACTTTCTGAGTTTGGTTTAGAACATCACATCTGTTTAGGCTGAAAGAAGTCTGTCCTTTTAGGTGTTGGAGTATACATTTTGGGTAATGAGAAGACTCTTAGGCAGTGGTTTGTATGGGATTTTGCATGTAATGCATTTTCCATTTTTGTCACCATCTACAGCCAGAAAACTGAAGAGAATTGGCATGGCCTCTGTACCTAAGATGTAGTATACTAATAACAACTCAGGGATCATCTCCCTTAGTTCTCCTTAACAACTCGTCAAGGTTAGGCAAAGCAGTGTGACATCCTCCATGTTGCGAGGGTGGTCACTTTATACAACAGAGTTGAGTTCTCGTCCCACCGTTAAGCCAGGGGCCCCTTTAGTTGGACAGTAGGGACTCTTGAGAATTGTATGGTCCATTAGGTCCCAAACATGGCCCCTCATCAGAATCATCTGGGGAGCGTGTAAAATGCAGATCCCACAAGGGTCGTGAAATTCAGGGTGAGCTGCCTGTTTCAGTATCATGAGCTAAGAATAATCTGGACACAGAAACGTTGCAATCAATGTGATGATGTGGAACACTTAACTTTGAATCTCCATTAAGTGAAATGTTATCCCCCCAAAAGAATTCCACTTGTCTTGTTAGATGGTTATAACCCTTCCACCCCCCAAATTGTATTCATTATAGATCTTGAATTTTGTCAATAAAAGAATTGTGGAAAGTTGTTTTCTGTCATTATAAAAGTGCCTGTGTAGTATTGTTAGTTTTGTCTCTAGATAAAGTTTATTGTCTGGCCTTTTACAGAGAAAGCTTGGTGATCCTTGTTTGGGGGCCGGTGGGATCGGGATCTGGGTGGTTTTTTTTAATTATTTTTAAATTTTTTATTAAACATATGGCAGGCCATTCATTTGGGTGGTGCTTTAGGAGTCTTTCCAAGGTTTTCTTTGTGTGCCCTTTAACTAGTTGATGCCTAGTGGAAATCAACCTCGTTACCAGTTTAGAATTGAGTGTCCCTTCCATCTAGAAGTTCTTCTGTATAACCAACTAAAATTTCTCCGGAGTTTTGCAAAAGGTTTTTGCACATCTTGTAGTTAAATAGTTACTCTTACATTTCAGATGTCTTCTTAGGGCTTTGGGGCCTGCAGAAGGTGCAGCAGCTGTGTCCTCCATGGCCGACATCAGACCCTCAGAACACAGGTCATTGAAAGCCCCAGATGATCCTGCAATCTCTGGTTCTGCCCTGCTGCTCTCCCACCATGCATGTTTCCTGGGGAACATACCAGCAACAAAGTGGCTTTGAGTTTCAGCTTCTTTCTGCCTCTAGCCTTTCGTGCTTGAGCTAATGAGCAGAGGGAATAGAAATAAGATTGGCCAGACCGAGGAGAGGAGGGAGATGAATTCAAGGGGAAGAATTCCAGTTCCCCTAAGTTTGGCATGTACTTTAAGGACAGCAGGCCGAAGACCCAGTTCCCTGTCTTGGCCGCTTGTGCACCCCCAGCCTTTCAAGGTGACTCCCTCTAGACTTAACACAGTCCTCCTTATTTGTAAGACAGGCACCTACCTTAGCTTTGGGGGCTGATCATCCCAGAGCTTCAGTCCAAATGAATGATACCACATTGAAATAAGAAACTTGGGGCTGTGGGTGACCCTTTATGGGTATTGTATATAGGATACTCCACAGACCCGCCCCACTACCTTGGTGTAGTCGCTTGGGAGAGGAGCTCAGAGCTTGTTGCTGAGTGGTGATGAACCCTGGTCGAATGAACTTGGCCCAGTTGTTTGGCCTGAATTCTGACATGAAGAGGAGGCTCATTACTCTGGTGTCCAGAGGGGGCCCCTCCCTTCCAAGATGGGCGCTACCATACCTCCCCACCCCGTTTTGACCTGCCCACCCCCTGCTCACGCTAGTTGTCTAGTCTCCCAGGAAATACACACCATCAGTCCCCCATCACCACTACATTCTTCCCACAAATACAGGGAAACAGGGACCTGACTTTGAATCTTATAATCTTATGTTACATCGAAATACAATCGTACAAATGATAAATACCCAACAGTGGTATTTTCATTAAAGAGATGGAGTCTGGCAGGGATGGAGAATTGTGAAGGCATCTGTTATTCAGGACTTGTCATTTAATAAAATTTGTTGAAACAAGATGAGCAAAGCACCCATGGCCCTGGGCCACCTGCCCGGACATGGAAACAGCCTCCTTCAATAGAACCAGTTGTCCTGATGATATTTGTTAATACAAAGTCTGTAAACAAGATAAAATATCTTTGTTCTGCCACACCAGGCCCTGGCTTGTGCCCACTGGGCCACACCCTGCAACCCCCATGTTTCCACTCAGATTTATTTTGTTTTAGCCCCACAGCTGCCCTGGTGTGCTCATCTGTCTTCTTTACCAGAACTTGCTCTAGGCAGCAGATCTAAAAGATCAGCTTACTTGCTCCACGGTCACTTACCCTAATGTGGATTAAAGTCAAAGCTGTCTTTCCCAAAGATGTTTGTGTTTGGAGATTCCGGTTTGGTGAGGAAGTTAGCAGAGGACTATTAGAGACTTGTGTGCTGTTCTCAGTTTTGCCACTAACTTGGACAAGCTGCTGGGTTTCTCGGGGCCTCTGTTTCCTCTGCTCTAAAATGGGAGTATTGAGTTAGATTGGTGGCTTTCACACTTCCTGATCCTAACATAAAAATACGTTCCACACCACTACCCAGTGTGTATATACTGACAGGTTACACAAAACAATGACAAGGTGCTTCCTTACTCCATGGAAAACACTTCTGTTCATTAAAAAAAAAAAAAAAAAGAATAGTGTACTGGCTTTGACCCACAAATTGATCACATTGCTTGTGATTATTTGAGAGACATTAAAAGATGAATATTTTTTCAAGATTCCTTCACACTCAAACATCTTGCGGTTTGGTTTGGGAGAATGAGAGAACGCCGTTGGTAGCTGTGTGAAATCCCTCCAGGTCAATAGCGATTTCTCCTGCTTTTAAGCCAGCTCGCCCCTGGGTCCCCATGTTCTCAAACTGCACCCCTTTGGTTTTGTTCTAGCTCTTTCCCACCCCAAACCTTCTCATGGCGTTAAGGAGTCCTTATCCTAAATTCCTACCCCAGGTGGATGCCTTCCAAGGTTCCTGGTTATGCCGGGAGCCCCCAGCCAAACATGCCCCCCTTCTCTGCACACTCAGCCACCGGGCTCCCTCCATCCTCTTTGTGCCACACACTGTGCAGGTTGCCCGCGGGCTCCCACGTTTTCCAGCGCGGAGGAGAGACTGTTGGGGAGAGAGGAGAGTGCCTTTGGCTCCTGCTTCCGCGCAGACTACCTGGGTGGTGCATCCTGTCTCCCCCACTTGCAGCCACGGCACTTCTTGTCTCTCCGCAAAGTGATGATAGAACAGTACCTAGTGCATAGTAAGCGCTCAGTGAACGGTAACCGTTATTGGTATCATGGTCGGTTCCGCTGGAGCACCATCGTCGGCATTCACTTAAAACACACACACACTAACAACAGACACGTCATATTAAAAAGTCACGTTTGTTTCAGTGAGAGAAGAGGTTAGAAGCTAGAGAGTCTAACTTGGCAGACGTCTTTTTCCCCACAAGCAGTTCAATAGTAAACGTGTTGTTTCTAGATGTGCGTATAGCTGTAGCATCTCCAGCCCGTGGAGCTGCCCCAGCACCGGACCCCAGGCGGTTG